ATAGTCACATGCTTGGGCTGGGTATTTACATTCGTAAGAACTCACCTATTTGTCGGGAAACTAGATTTAAATCCACAGACTATACTTTTATGGGCTTCCGTTCAGCACCACTTCACTCTATCAACTTTTTCTTTGTTCTATATTGCTTTTTTTTTCATCTCAAGACTGCACTTTTTGATGTTACTTCTGATCAAATTGACCAAGCCCTCTCTCTTTATCCATCAGCCAAATCGTTGTTTACTTGAATTCTCATCACATTAAATGGCTTGGTACAAGTGTCAGTGACTCTGCAGGCGATAAGGCTCACAACTTTTGTTTTTCTTAATTTTTAACACAAGTAGTCAAAATTTCCAACATGTTTTCCAGACAATCTGAACCATTTACCTTCTCTACTCGACTTATGTCTTACTTCTGATCCCATTTAGTTTCTCTACATTCACCCTTAGGTGCGATCTCTCTAAAACTTTTATATCATTATTCTTTATCATCAGAATTTCCCTACCATCGTACCTCTTACAACTACCTTAAAGCTGACTGGGACTCATTTCGTTATTTTCTTCGTGATGGCCCTTAGGTAGAAAATTTTTGTCTTCCTGCTGACAAATGTGCTTCTTATGTAACTTTCTGGATTCAGGCTAGCATGGAATTTTTTATTCTCTGTCAAGATTAAAAGTCAAGCCTTACTCTTATTCATGGTTTATCTCTCATAGAGCTGCTGCGATTTCCAATCGTAACCATTACTTCCATATCTATTGCCAAAACGATTCTTTAGAAAACAGACGTCTGTTTACTATTTCTAGAAACTATTTTAAAGAAGTTTTGTCTAACACCAAAGCCCGCTATTCTCAGGTCACAAATAGATAAAAAATAATATTTATTTCAAAAAATAGGCTCCAGTGATTTCTGAAGAATGTCTATAATAAAGGCAAATCTCCTAATCTCCTAGCTCCTCTCTTACATGGTTCAGATTTTACAACTTAAGCTAAAATCAAAGCTGAATTTTGTGCTAAAAACTTTTCAATCTTATCTCTTGATTCCACTAATAACATCCTACCTAATGTATCCAACAAACAGGTGAATCCATTGGTTGAAATAATCGTTTCATTACAGCTTCTTTTTTTAAAGTGATTTCCTGGTTAGACTCTTCTACAGCTTGTAATCTGGCAACATAGCTGTTATAGTCTTGCAGCAGTTTTCTCTGGAGCTGTTTTTTATACTTTTAAAACTATTTAACAAGTGCTTATCAGAGTTTTATTTTCCATTTGGCTGGAAATTGGCATCTGTTTTCTTTATTTTTAAAAGATTCTGTAGAGTGATTTGACTCGATACCACCATTTATTCCTGTCTTGGTAAGATGCCAACACTATCTGGTTGCTTGGAGGGGGCATTTAAGCTTGAAAAGTCTCAAATGCTTCCTTCTCACTTCTGCTGCAGCTTGGGGCTCTCAGTGATTGGTTAAATTTAAACTTTAACCTAGATAAAACTCAATTTTTTTCAGCTAATCGTTATTGCAACAATCTAAATCTCCTTATATTCATGAACGGTAGTGTATTCAATGAGTCATCTACCCTTCGTCTTCTTGGATTAACTCTTACTTCCAATTTTAATTAAAAACCATATACCAAATGCATTGCAAAATTAGCATCTGCTATGGTTGCATCTGTTTATTGTGCTCGACACTTTCTTTCTCCTGATTCTATTCTCTATCTCTATAAACCTCATATCCGTCCTTGTATGCAATACTGTTGCCATATTTGGAGCGGATCTTCAAATGATTCCCTTTCTCTTTTAGACAAGGTGCAGAAACGCATTGCAAACATAGTTGAACCTTCTATTGCAGCCAACCTCCAACCATTCTTACATCGCCGTAATGTTGCCTCTCTTTCTCTTTTCTTTAAATGCTACAATTTGCACTGCTCTAAAGAGATAGCGTCTCTGTGCCATCTACTAAAATTCATCCTCGTGTTACTCGTCATTTAATTAAGTCTTATTCTTTTACAGAGGCTATTCTTAAGTGCTCCATAATTCTTATTCGTCTAGTTTTTACCCTGAAACATCAGTTCTTTAAAACTCTCTCCTTTTTTCTTGTTTACCTGATTCATATATCTTGCATGTCGTCTGTTAATCGTTAACTTGCTTTATAAACTTCATCTTTTTTCTTCCAGTAACTTCCGACACTAATAGTGGTTGCTTGCTGCATTTTTGGAAGTGAAGATCTTTGTCGAATCATAGACGAAATTTTGCGTTAAAAAAAAAAAAGTAATATTCATAAAAAACAACGTCGGCATAGCTATTTTAATGTTGTAACTCCTATAAAAAAACGTTGTAATTATAATGAAAAAAAAAACATTAGGATATTTAACTTTAATGTAATTCTGACGAAAAGTAACGTTAATGCACGGCCGCACCTATGTTACCAACGTTACTATTACATTAACGTTAAGTAAGTGTAACCAACGTTACTACGGCGTTATAATTCTGATCATAAATAATATTAGAGTAACCAACATTTGGTTTAGTTGGTCAAAGTCGCCCAAAATAAATCCAACGTATGATCAACGTCGTGTGCTGCCCACTGGGTAAATGCATTTATTTTACTTTCAAAAAAATTGTATTTTCTTCAGTTGCAATCAATATTTACCGTTGAATCTTTATCCCTTATATTTGTGTAACTTTAGTGTTGCATGAAATCAAAATAGTTGTAATTGAATAAATATATGATTTTAAGGACGCTTTTCTTTCTTAAACGATTTTTAATACGCGTCTTGCTTAAAATACTTTTACTTGCTTCATGTTTTAAATACTTTTTTAATTTTGCTGCATAAGTTTTTGTGTCAATTCTTAAAACCAAACAAAAATATAAATAACTTTAAAAACTTTTTTCTGGTTTATCTCGTTTTTTATTCAATTAAATATACGGTTTATTTGACTCTGCATAAAACGATGAATCTGTTTTATATTAGTGGACATAGCAAAATGACGTCAGGCTTTGAGGAGGGTGGGGGGTGGATTATTTTATTTATTTTAAATTGATGAAACGTGTTTTAATTTTTTTAAACAACTTTAAACAAATTTTTCAAAAATAGTAAATCTTTAAGTCAGAACTTCATGAATACGTGTACTATTGGATGTTACTATGGATACTACTGGATAATCTGATAAACCAAATCTGATTTGCTAACGTAACGATCTGCTAACGTAACGTAGGCGCAAGTATTATGGAAAAAAAAAAAAAAATTCTTTAGGGCAATTAAAAATATTTTAAAGCAAAAAAATATTAGTAAAAAAAAAAAAATTTATTACAGTTTTATAAAAAAATTAAATTGAAAAAAGATTACTTAAATAATACCCGACTTCTTCTATCCTACCTAATAATTAAAAATCAAATCTTGACAACACTAAAAAAAACTTGACGACACTAAAGTATATATAAATATCAAAATTGGTCTAAGTTATAAATAAACATAAAGTCATAACGAAACTAAATTTAAAAAAATGTCTTTAAGAATATAAAAACCATGAAAGCAGTTGATAAACATAATTTCAGTAAATCATTAAACTCAAAAGTTAATAGTAAATAATAATAATTTAATAAGTTTTGTAAGCAATTTTAGGTTTGAATCAGGAGTTAAAAATTTACCACTTTTCTAAAATATTTATGAACAGGAAAGATTATTCGCCATAAAAGTTAAATTTTATATTTTTATCTGTAATAAGATGAAAGTCACCAATATTTTTGAAAACCATAGCTGATAAACCTAAATTAAGAGTTTATTAAACACCGACGCAATTTAATCTTAATGTAAACGTTCGAACGCAAAACATTTCGGTTTTGAAACTAAAAAGTTTTTTGCAATAGACTACTACTAAATAAAGTATAAACTAATATTGCGTAATAGTTTCTTACTGCCATTCGTATCAACATTGTTTCTATAGCCAAAGTGGGCATGAATCCTAGGATTTTATGATAGCACTTTATTAACTGCGTCGTCAATCGATACGATACCAGCTTTACCATTTTTTTTTTTTGAGGAAATATAATTCTTTGTTCAAAAATCTAATAGTTGCACCGAGAAGACGTGCGATGACTACGGCAAACGTTTAAACTACAAAAACCTAAAATGCTGCACTGGTACCATGACAACACATTGTAAGTTTTTTTGTTTGCACTACTTTATATTATTTTGAAATTCATCAAGAAAGTCACTTAAAATCATTTCAAAATCACTGTTCTTTAAGCAACCCGATCAAGAACTCCATTTTTAAAGGTTTCCTTTTTCGATAGATTGACAATTTGAATAGCTAATGTTCAATTAATTTGTTATGTGATTGACTAGAATCTTCACTTACAAATATTTTTTTTTCAATTAAACAAAACTTCAACAAAGAAAATGATTTGAAAACTTTTTTAAATAAATAATTTAGATATTTTGGCGGAGTATGTAATTATTTTCAATTTAGCTGGAACTTTTATGTTAAAATCTACAAATTATTTAAAATTATACAGTATAAGATCTACTGTCGTCGTTACAAATTGATTGCAAAAAATTTACAAAACAACCAATCGCAATTGTTAAATAAAAAATTATTTGTTTTTTTAGATTTCGGTATTTTATTTACACAGCATCGATTGTGACATTTTATTGTTATCTTTGCCCACTCCCGTAAAGAACAACGTATTCAAACCAACTCAATAAAGCATTATAATCTGTTTTACAAAAACAACGCAAAAAATGAACAGAACGATAAACGAAATCAAGAAGCGCTTTGCAAAAAATAATAACGCATAAATGCCTCATATCTCTAAACAATAAAGTTAATGATAGAGTTCATTCTTATTAAAAGCTAATGAACAAAATAAACTTTCCATGTAAAATTAATAAAATAAATACAAAGATATAACTTTACTGAACTGAAGTAAAATATATATATATATATATATAAACATAATTCAAAACAGTTGGAAATATAGAAACAAAATTTTAATCTTATTTAGTAGTTTGAAAAGATTCAAAAAAAAAAAAAAAAAAAAAAATCTAGAGATATAATGTATATAAACAAACACTCAGACACATATACTCACAGTTACAAAAACATCAAATCTGAACTAAAAAATTAAGATTTATCTTCTATGCTTTCTTCTTTAAGAGATACTCTAGAACGTGGTTTTGTTGCAAGAATTGTTTGTATTTCACTTTGCATAAAAGCCCAAGGGAGATTGTTACCAATAAGTGGACATTGTTTACCACTTGGGCAAAAAACATCACTTCCAAACCCTTGTTTCTTAATACTATCTTTTGAACATGGAAAACAAAATTTATGAGCTGGTACAGAAGGACATTGTACAAAATGAGAATCATCCAACCAATCTTCACAAATACTACATTTTATTTTACTTGCATTCTTCATATTTGCTTTTTTATTTAGATTGTCTTCTTTATGCTCATTTATTTCCTCTGATTTTAAGTTATCTTTTATTTCGAGTATCTCTTTTTCGTGATGAGGAGATTTTTCATGCAATGGAGATTTAGATTTACTACTTTCTGGCAACAGTTTTCTAGGCTCCTTTGAATTTCCGTTTGTTTCTGCACTAGCAGCACTTATTAATGCTGCCATTGAAGCTGACACACCCCATGGTTTAGGAGATGGTTGATGAGGCGCTCCTAGATTTTGGCTGTTTGGTGTTAAAGGTGTATGGGGTGTTAAAGGTGTATGGGGTGTTGTGTGGTGGTGGAGATCAAGCATATTACCAGACCGAATTGAATTAAGATGTATTGCATCTTCAGGGGTTCCTGTTAAATGTGCCATTGAAAGTCTTAATGCATCAACTTGAGATTGCATCCATAAATGTCGTTGAATTTGCTCATCCTCCCTTTCTTTGTATGTGCGCCGAGGAGCTCTAGAGGGAGCTCCAATCACTTCAACATCATCAGCTTTTCTTTTAGGCCGATACTTAGAGCTACCAGGCAGTGGAGGCCCTAGCATTGAGTGAAATATAGGGTAATCAATTAATCGCATTGGTAAAAACACCCGACCAATAGGTTCTTTAAATATACGAATTTGCTCAGGAAGCAAATCACCAAGTAATCTCCATTCATTACCATGGATCTCATATTCCAGATATTTAAAACCTGAAGAAAGCCCTCTACTATAATCTTTCATAGAATCTTGATACATTTGTTTTGCAACCGAAGAAGCACTTTGACAAAAATTTTCAGATCCACGAGGATATTCAATATGAATTTTAAGTTCAAATTCGTTTGGTGAAGTTGTACCTGCTCTTGGTGCAGCTTCAAATAAAAATACACGACCAATGTGATTATGATCCTTTTTAAAACGTATATCAAATGGTACACATGAATTTAACACTTCTAAAGTTTCTCTCACAATATCAGGATATTCAGAATATTCTGGTCTATGTATAATTGGAACTCTAACATGATTATCTTTGGTATTGTTCACAGCAAGACTAGTTAAAAATCGACGATGTTCATCATGAGTATCATCAGCATTCCGAGAGCTCAAAGGAGCAATTTGAGATGTTTGGTTAATAGAAGATTCATTAGGAACTGCAAAAACATTTTTTTGATTGAAGTTTTCACCTACATGATTTTCAGGTGGAACATGATGTTCACTTTTCACATTGTGTAAAAAACGAAAATGGTCTAGCTGTTGTGGCATACCATTATATTGAGAAAAAGAATAAGCATTATTAGCTATACTCACATTAGTCTCCATCGATCCGTTTGAGTGACCACTAGGACTTGGAGTTGATCCAATAGATGTTCCAGTAGAATTCATGTTTGGTTTTAATGCTCTAACTTGCTGATCCCATCCTTTCCTTAACGATCGAACATAATCTATTACAGTTTCAATGCGTTCAGGGCCTTCATAATTACAGCATCCACGACAAATAGGTTCGCTAAAATCGTTTAAAATAGCCCAAGGAGCTCTAGGGCAGTCACAAAGATAGCATTGTTGACGTTGAAATCTCGTTGTGCTCATGTTTTTGGTCCAATATAAATATTCCATATAAATATTTGCTAACAATTTAAATTTAAAGTGTAACCAAAACAAAGCATTCCAAAAAAAAATTACAACTATTTTTATTGTTTTTTGCGCCTCGCTTTCACCTTTGTGTTTAAAAGATTTGTTATTCGTTATCAGACGTGAATTGTCGAAAGAACAACTTTCATTCACCTGGCACAACCATCACCGAGCTATGACGTCACAAAATTCTATTTGAACTATACGATTTAGTTATATATGGTCGGCACAATGTGCAAAACGACTTTATGCTTTTATTGATTTTGAAACGCTTCGTTGCAGAGACTAGCAACAACAGAAAAAAAAATAAGTTTGACGTAATATTTATTTATTTATAAAATTTTATTAACAACTTTTAACTCTGTAGACCTGAGTTAAAAAACGTCAACTAATTTATTTGCTGATACAATTCAACGTCGTTACTTTATGTTTATAATATAGAGAGGAAATAAAATTATAAAATAGGCAAGTTTTTTTTAAATGCAACTTTGATTTATAAAGCAACTCATGCTGCAATAAAATAACAGCGTGATTTTCAGGCCTTTAATGGAGTTTTAACAAAAATTAAAAATACTGTTTTTAAATTGTAAATACATTAAAAATAGTAAATATATTTATACAAAAACAGTTAAAACTGCAGCTTCAACTGGAATTCATAAAAAGTAGCGTGATTTTATTAAACTTGATCTCGGTTTACCACATACTATAACATTTTAATTTAAAACTTGATAAAAAAAATTCATAAAAAAAAAAAAAATAACACGTAAAATAGTATTTAAAATTATACTTAAGTCAACACGAAGCAACAAACATGCAAAATTAAAAAGTTCTGTTTTCTAAAAATCCAAATATCAAAAGTAGTTATTAGTTTAGGGACAGCGGTTAAAGGCAATATCTATTTTAGTTTGCAATTCTTTTTTTAATTTTTTTTATGTAACAAAAAAACCTCAAAAAAGTTTAAATTTTTTTTATTAGTTGAAATATATTTTTAGGTTGGCTGCTTTTTAATTTAAACGCTCACGTGGTGTTTTATTATTTATTTTTGTTTTATGTTTGCTTATGGAGAAAAATAATTCTCTACAAAACACTGCTAAAAACCGGAACAATTAATCAATAGCTCGTTTTCAATGAAAAGAAAGCGTATCGTGTATTTTGAAAAGATGTAACGGTTTATAAGCTGCAAAATTGTGATGAAGTGTTATGACTGTTGTACAGTTCAAGTGCTTTTGCATCACGGCGGAATTTCAACGAAAAAAAAACCTCGCGATATAAAAGTTAAAAAATATGTATTATTAAAATTATAGTATTAATTAAAATAACATTATATTCATATTTAACATATATTTAAAATATAGCTCAAACTTGTTCAAAAAATTAATTCAGACAAGTTATTTTTAATTTGTGTAGAGAGTATAGTCATGTGACTTTTTATTACGAAAAATTTTTTTTGGGCCTATTTTTTTAAAAGTGAAGGTTTTGTAAATATTTTACCTTTTTTGAATATTTGTTAGTGTTATCTAAAATTGTTACGGCATATTTTGCCGTTATCTTTTATAGTTATAAAATACAGTAGCTTATAAATATATCTTTCTTACTATGTTCGCACATTTAATTGTTTTTTACGAGTTCAGTTCTTTACAATTTTTCAAAATTAAAATTTACAAAATTTAAAAGAAAACTAATTTTCTGCTCTTTTTGCTGACCAGTTAGTAATTGAATATCTTCAACAGTAGGGTAAGTTATTTTCGGTCACTATTTAAAGTCGGTTATTTTTACTTTAACTTAATTAAACAATATTTTTGTTTGATTAAATTTGTTTGGTAAAATTTTTACCAAAAAAATTTAGAAAATTTAAAATTTGAATTTAAGTTAATCAATTATGATTATTTTATAGTGATGTACCTCGAAACTTTTAAAGTTTAAAATCACTTTTAATAAAAAACATTTTTACTAAAAAGGCTTTTTATTAAAAGTTTTTTATTAAAACTTTAAAATTTCAAGATATATCGCTCTGAAATAATAAAATTTTATTATTTTAAATCTAAATTTTAGATAATAAACTACTATTAAAGGTTTTATAAATACTATCTAATAATGTTTTTTTATTTTGAATCCAATTGTAATGTTTATATTTGATATAAACATTACTATTAGATATACTTTTAAATTTAAAAAAAACCTATTCTTCCTTTTTAATAGTTTTCTTATGACATAAGAAAACTATTTAAAAAAAAAACAATTTTTATAAAATAGTTTTATTATGGCATAAGAAATCTATTAAATAGAAGATAGATAAAAACCAATCCTTATGACTTATGTAGATTGGTTTTCATCATCTCCATTTATATTTTTAATCCAATAAGAAAGCCTTTTAAACTCAATAAAAACTGAGGAGATTGTTATAGATATGAAGTTATGGTAAAAGTATTATATAAGATACGTAATGTAAAGTGTTTTCTTGATGACTAAATCTTAGGTTTTTGGCAAGTGTTTCCTTTTTCTGATGAATTATGATAATTCTCTAAGTCTTATATTCTGTATAATGCAAGAATAGTGTTTTCATTATTTTGTTATATATTTTAAAAAGATTACGATTTTAAAATGATGAAGAAAAAAAGAAAAAAGAAAAAAACACCCTACCCTGTATCAGTAATTTTTATTTTTTAATTTATATTTTACTTTTTTTACTATATACTTATGTATATATATATATATATATATATATATATATATATATATATATATATATATATATATATATATATATATATATATATATATACATATATATATATATATATATATATATATATATATATATATATATATATATATATATATATGTATATATATATATATATATATATATATATATATATATATATAACGTATCTATTATCTAAAAAAAAATAAAGTATTGGATAAGCAAAAACTTTCTAAATAATTTAAACTT